CCTTTCCCATTATTTCACATAGGAAAAATGTTGACATGCTCCAGTGAAATAATTCATATTTGTTTGGCCTCAGGGATAATCACAGTGTGCTGGTGGTAGGAAGTGGTGAGAAAACACTGAATCTTAATGGTTTACTTTTAGAATACCTTTAAATAATAGAATGCCGTTGGAAGCTGAGATGCATAAATATCCCTCCTGGCACTGTGTCTTTGAAAGCTGTGTGTGCTTAAAAGATTTCCTGTGTGTGTGTCACAGGCCAGTGGTGGCGTGAGGCCTTTTGTCAGCAGGAGGACAGAGGAACACAAAGACTGGATGGCTGGGATGTTCCACTCCAGAGAGACACTTGTTCAACTTGGTCAACATAGGCCCCTTTAGGGAGCACTGTGCGTGTGGGTGCAGGGTGTTGGTGTGTGTGTGTGTGTGTGTGTGGAGCCTGTACACCTGCTTATGCACAATCCAAATCAATGGACATATGTACACCTCTGCATGCATTGGGTGGGGTTATTCGAAGAAAGAGAAGGAGAGAGAGGTGACGATGAGGGTTGGAGACGGTTGGCCAATGGGGTCCAGCAGGGACTAGTGGTGTCCCTGCTAATGAAGAGCCATCTGAGCCCTCCATTCACCTTGAACATGGGCCACTGCAGCTGCCCTGACCTTGGCTTTGATCCACAAAGATGCTTGACCCCCACCATTTCCCCAGACACCCCCCACCCTCGCCATCTGGATAGCATGCATGCATATGTATACATACATGCACACACCCACAGATACATATGCATGTACACGTATATTGACCCATATGCAACATATGCCTTCACAAGTGTGTCTTTCTAGTCTCCTTTGTTTATTCTGACACATACACTTTGTGTGTGTGTGTGTGTGTGTATTTTGTATGTAACTGACCTGTATGTTTTTGTATGAGCCTGTGTATTTGGGATACACAGCTATGCTCAGATGCCACATGCCAGCCATAAGTCACTGTCTTTATCACCACTAGTGACAAAAGAAAGAGAGGGCAGGCAGGGGACAGGATGGAAAAGGGCCGTTGGCCACTAAAACACATTATCACACATATAAATATTATAGTTAATAGATTGGATTTTTGCTTTTCTCTTTATAGGCACTACTCCCTCCACCCTCATAAGACCCTAACCTCCTTCCAGATATCTTTATCCTAACTGGAGTTGTTTTACATTAAGTCAGGCCTGGGAGATTTTTTTCTCATTACTGTCCCTATGGTCTCCACGGTCCATAGACATTACATTGGTTTCCCTCTCTTCTCTCTAATAGGAACGCAGCCACTTGGAACGTAGGGGTTCCTTGGAAATTCCCAAAGTGGTGCAACACACTTACCTGGTTTATCTTGCTTGTCTGCCCAGTTCAGCTGTAAATGATAGTTATGTCACAGGTGACTTGAGTTGCAGTCCGTCTGTGGAAATGTAGATCTGTCTTTTTCCTTTTTCTATTTCATCCTGAGGTTTATGAGAATTTTTAGAGCACAAAGTATAGTGGATCCTTAGATGATAGAAAAGCTTTCATAACACAAAACATTTTTATAAAGTGTAATATTTTGTGATTTACTTTTCTAGAGAACATTGATACAAACACAGAGCTTCAATGGGCATCCATCAGCAGTAGCTGCAGCTTATGTGTTTTTTTCCAGAAGTAGGTCAGTGTCAATGGATTTGGTGTCCATGACATGGACACAGTCTTGCGTCACTGTTCTAGTCGTGTCCCTTGATTAAGTTACTGCACAGAGGCAGCAGCATTTGTGCATATGTAGGGGAACAAGCTGTGCCCATGGCTTAGTAATTAGTCAAGCAGAAAGATGAGGGAGAGTGAGAGAGAGAAAGCAAGATTACCCCTCACTGTACATCAGGTCTGATTTCTGTGCAGCAATTTTTTTACCCACAGATAGCATCGTGCATTTACTAAAGCGAGCTGATTACGGCGCTCGCTTGCACTCCTCTCCAAAATACCTTTTATTGGTTCACCCCCTCCCCCAACCTCCTGCCCTTCTCCACCACTACCTGTCATATATTTTCCCTTGTCTGTTGATAATCCTACAGTATCTCCTTTCATTTTATCCTTCAAAGTTTGTTTTTTTTCTCACCCACTATAATCCATTTGTGTAACTTGGATAGAGGGCAGCGGAAGGAAGTGGTGAAGGAGAGGCGTGTGTCAGAGTCAGAGAGAGCGTCTGCTCCAGCTGGAGTCAATATTTGCTTTAGGAATCTCAATAACAGGCATTCAGTCATCTGCATCTCTGATAATGGACAGCCATATGGCTCTGTTGACCCACGCTGTGCCGAAGTTCTCCCCATCCTTCCTTTTCTTACATTTATCAGCTTCATTCCAACTTTTGTCATTTCTTTTCATCAAGACATTCCTTTTCCTGTATTTTGTCGACCACTTATCTCCTATCTGGTGACAGTTTGCTCTTTTTATAAACATTCTTTCTCTGTGTTTCTGTCAATCATCCATAAAACCCTGGATATGACCCACCACACAGAGCAGTGACCCAAGTTACCATGGCAGCAAAGCCTGGGATGCCCACTCTTTGTCCAACACTGTTTCCAGCAAATGACAGAAAACAGCAATGTTGTCTGGCTATGACTGAAAGACAGATACAGAGCTCAGGGAGAAGTGCTTTTAAATGCTTAAAATCACACTGCTCTGCTTCTCATAAATGGAGATTTTGGCCCTGTAAAGATTGGTCAATTAAATACAGTTTAAATGCAGTCACTGTTTAGTAAAGATTGGTCAATTAAATGCAGTATATTAACTGACAGGTCTTTTGCTCTATTTAATTCCTTAATTTTTCTTGTTTTTCCATTTCTCCTTTCTTTCAGATGGCTTTTATTTTAATGGATTTCTTGGTATTTTGTCCTGAAATATGTTCAAATCTTGCATGTTTTTCCAAGACATTCATTTTGCAGCACAATGCCAAAAACAAATCGCTGAGCAGAGTAGATTTTCCTAACATCTTTCATAGAACAATCAAGTAAATCTGTTTGAGCAGCATGTTTATTTTAGCCTACGCTCATTAGTTTTTTTTGTCCTCAGTGTTTAAATAATGAATGTATAATGCATTATTAGACTAACAAGTAATTGTTTGATTCATAGGACGAGTGTAACTGAACATCACTACCATTTGAATGAGTATCCAAACTGCATCTTTCTCTCCAGTCTTTGTCGTATTCTTCCTTCTGTCTGTCCCTGTCTGTCTCTGTCTGTCCCTGTCTGTCCCTGTGAGCAGCCTGGCCGTTGTACCCTTTGGTGTGTCCCGGCTCAGGTGCCCATCACACCCGCTTTGCCACACTTCCCCTCAAAGCCATTGGTCATGGCTGCCTTGGCCCCTGCTGTGGCGGCATGTGCCCACAGCAGGCCCCCTGCCCAGTCACTGTCTCGTCCTATCTGTCTAACCCAGACCAGAGCCTCTCGACCCAGTCCAGTCTATCTCAGCTCAGCCTGGTTCAGCCTTGGTGCCAACAACAGCCCAGTGCCCCTCCACTCTGGCAGCCATAATGAGACACAGGGGTAGGGGGCATCACTGTTCTGGGACTAGAGATGTATGTGTTTGAGAGTGAAAGTGCATCTGTTTGTCAAGCAATTTGTTAGGTGTCATGAGTCACTGAAACATGGCCACAACAGACAGCCGTGAGAATAATCAGACTCATTGTCAAACATGCACACACACACACACACTGTTAAATCTCAGTGTTTACTATCATTATGCCATCAGATAGACCTTTTTACTCCAGTAGTTCCCTACATCATATTTTATCCAACACACTGCCTCCATTCCACAACAGACATAGCACAATATATCTGTGGTAATGATATGATAATGGCCATCAGAATGTTTTCCACCCTCACCCTGCAGCCATTTTGCAGGCTTATTTATTTGTTTTTTTGTTGTTGTTGTTTTTTAGCTTTCCTGTTTCAAATCTGGCCATCCATCCATCCTGCATGCTGGGTGCCTAGGCTTCAGTCACTGCTTGTCACTCTGAATTTCAAATGGCTCCAATTTTCCCCCTGATGGCACAGAGAAGTGGCAGGCAGCACTTCGGGGAGGGTGGTCCTAGACATGCTGCTTGCACCAGGGGTTTTATTAGAGAGAGGAGAGGGACGAGAAAGGGGGAGGGGAGAGGTTTGGAGCATCATTCCAGCAGTGATGTATTCTTTCTTTCTTTTTTTATGATTATTTTGGAGACTGCTTTCTCATTTGGGGCTGTGTGGCATGGCTGATTGTTCCATCTTTGCTTCTGGCTAGGCTGTTGATCGTGGAGCCATGTCGAGTACAGCTGCACCTTATTCTTCCTGCTCACTCTCACACTACCATATATATGTCTCAGAGCTGCTGGCAAGCATTAAAGAAACTGAATTTGTAAACACTGCTATGATTTTCTTTTTCTCCCAACCAATTACCCATGTTATACACAAATGGCTAATTTTATGGTTTTCTAAAACACGACAGTTTTGCATTAGATTTAATTGCAGGTAGAGGCTAACTTTACCTTGTTGCTATTATGTTTTTCCTCTCCAATGTGCAGCTTTGTTATGTCCCTTAACAAGAGCTAACCAGCTATGAGGAACGGGCACTCTACTTGGAAGCTATTGTTCAGAACCACAGAGAGGTCATGACCTTCGAAGACTTTGCCTCACAGATCTTCTCCCCCTCTCCTGGCTACCCAATCAGTGGGACAGGTGAGAAATGTACCACATTGCACCCCAGATCTCCTTTATGCTCTTTCTGCTCCATTTCTTTCTG